TTCTCTCTCTTGTTCAATGTCAGTTTTAATGTGAATGAGCTGTTCTCTTTCTCCACTGATGCTCTTCAAAGCAGTTTCAACCACTTCTTTCTGTTCGTTCAGTTCCTCCCTCAAAAATCCCAGTTTTTCTTTTTCTGCCTGTAGATTGTTTTCCATATTTTGTAATTTTTGTTTTAGTCTTTTCATGTCTTCATCCTTGATTTTTTGTTCTTCTTCCTTTAAGGTCATCGTGTTAATGGTATTGTCAAGTTTCTTTATGTCTGTCTGAACTTGAAGTTTGAGACTTTTAATCATGATTTTCTCTGTGTTTATATTATCAAACACACAGTCTGCATATTCTTTCTTTTTTTGTAGGTTATATTTTGTGGTTTCCCACTTGTCTTTTTCCATTTCTATGTCACGTTTTAATATATGCAGTTGCTCCACTATGGTAGACCTTATCAGTTCCAAGTGCAGTGTTTCTTGTTTCATTCTTTCTTCTTGTGTCTCCAAATCTTCTGTTTTTTGCTTCAGCAACTCTTTTTCTTTAATTTGTTTCTCTTTCAGAACTAACTCTGCTTTCTTTATATCTCTCTCGCTTTCTTTTCTGATATTTATTTCACCTCTGCTCTCATCCTTTTCTCTTTGCAGTTTCAGCCTTATGATTTCTAGTTCATCACTTTCTCTGATGATCCTCTCCAGTTTCTGGTCAAGTTCTTTTCTCCTCTTCTGTGTCTCTCTCTTGAGGGCTTCTTTTTCTTCTTTAACCTCAGTCCACAACTGTTTAACTTCCTGTTCTTTTCGAATGCCTTTGCGGATCATCTGTTGGTGTTCTCTTTTTTTGAGCATTAACTCAGACATCAGCACTTCCATGTCTCTTTTTTCTTTTTTAACTGTCCCTAGTCTATTATCAAGCTCCTGCTTTTGTTTTTGGATATCATCCTTCATTTGTAACAGTTCGTCCATTTCTGCTTTTGATTGTATGATAATTCTTTCAAAATCCATCTTTTTCTGAGATTTTATTCTGCTCATGCAATCTCTCACAGTCCTATTCTCAGCATTTAATGCTTTGAGCCATTCTTTTTGTTTTTCTAATTGAACATTTATATTTTCCAGCCTTCCGATATCACTCCTAATTATTTCCAAATGTACATGCATATTTTGTGTCATATTTTGAAGGTCAATAACGGTATTAGTGACCTTTGGGATTTCCTTCTCCATGTTGACTTTTTTCACCAGTTTCTTTTCTAAGGTTTGTTTTTGATATTCTCTAAGTACTTGGATAAGAGTAGCCTGGTCTTTGATCCTTTGCTTCTCCTCAGCCAGCTCTTCCTCATTTTGTTGCAGTCTTTTCCTCAGCATTTCACATTCATCACAGTCTCTCATGGTTTTCTCTTGTCTTTGGTCTAATTGTCTTTTTTCCTTTTTGATCACACTCCTCAGCAATTTTTCTCTTTGTATTTTATTCCTCATTATATCACTTTCCTCCTTTCTTCTCAGGCTTTTTCTAAATATGTGTTCTCTTTCTTTTTTCTTTATTTCCAGCTCTGACTTCAGGAGGTCCATTTCTCTTGTTTCTCTTTTTATCATTTGTGCTCTGTCATCCAGCTCTTGTTTCTGTCTTTCAATATCATCCCTTAAACAGTTACTCTCATGCCTTTCTGCCTCAGCTTGCTGTATTGCTCTACTCACATTCTCCTTCTCCACTTGAATCTGTTTCAGTATCTCAGTCTCTTCACTCTCTCTCTTCTGTTTCACTTCATTTATTAATTTTTTCAGTTGTTCAGTTTCTCTGGTTTTCTGATCCAAACTGTCCAGTATCATTTTTATATCTTCCTCCAGTTTCTCCTTATCTAGCCTGAGTGTTATGATTTTATCCTTTGTTTCTTTCCCTGTTCGCTTCTTTGTCAGTTTATCCTCTTCTGTATCCATTTCAGTTCTGTCGTGTTTCTTTTCTGTCGTGTTTTCCAAGTCTTGTGTAATAGCATCAATCTTATTGCTCAGGTCTTCTAACTGTCTGTGTTTTACTTTGGTCTCCTCCATAATAATTTTCTCTATGGTGCTCTTAACTTTTGACATTTTCTCTAACTTCTTCTTAAAAACGTCTGTTTGTCTCTGCATTTTTATTTTTAAAATATCTAATTCATCTCTTTCTCTCAAAGTGTTCTCTAACCTTTGATCCAGTTTTCTTTTTTGTTTTCTTGCTACAGCTTTCATCAATTTTATGTTGCTCATTTCTTCTTTGAAATGCATTTCACTTTGCCTAATTGCGGTTTTTACCATTTTCAAAAACTCCTGGAATTGTTTAATCTCTTGTATCAATACTTCAGTTTCACTCTCTTCTTTATGATATTTGTCAGTGTTACTGTTTTCAGCTTGGTTTTGAAATTCTAGTTTCACTGATGTTAGGATTTCCTGTGTTCTACAAATCTCTGCTCTAAGTTTTTGTATATCAGCACTTCCTGTGTCTTTTTTACCAGAATCTCTGTGTATCTCCTCATTATCGGTCTGTACTTTTTTCTTTGACACCTGACTTTTTTCTTGCTTGTCAACATCCACTTTTATCAAATCAGACTCATCAATTACTTGTTTTATTTTACTCTCCTCTTTTTGAATTTGGACTTCATATTTATTTATTTCATATTTTAAAACATCTGTGTTTACCTTCCAAATGCCTCTGTGTTCTGTTTCTTTCAGCATCCCAGTCTCTTGTTCCTCCAAATTTCCACTTTCCTTGACTGTAAATTCTAAGACAGGTTCCAACTCTGATCTCTGGATCTGCAGGTCATTTATTTCCATAATGACCCTTTTAATCTCACGACTTTTTTCCTCCATGTTCTTTATAGCATATCTTATTTGCTCCGTTATTTTCTCCTCTCTCTCCTTGAGCATGTATATTTGTTTTTCCACTGCTTCATATTCTCTTTGATTTATTTTTAATTCTGTCTTATAATCATCTATTAATGTTTCTTCATGGATTTCTGTCTGCATCTGTAAGAAGGTATTCTGCTCTTCCTTTAAGTCCACAGCAAAAAAATGTTTTTGATCTGATTGTCCATGTTCACGTTCTTCTATTCCTTCACTTTGATGCTGGTCTTCTAATGTAATGGATTGTTGCAAAGACACAGCTGTTTTTGTAATGTCATCTTCTGCTCCTTTGTTGCCTGTTGGAAAATCCAGTGTTTCTTTGAGGAATTTTCTGCGTGTTTCTCTCTGTGGTTCTTGAAGTTTAGATACATTTGCTAAAAAGGTCTTTTTGATTACAGATTCTGTCAAGATCCATCTGCTGATCTGGGCATTCATGGAAGCTACCTTGTCCTTCACAGAAAAAAGAAAAAATTTGTTGTTTTTGATATTGATTATCATGTGACCAAGTTAAATCAACAAAATTGTTTCCATCAGTTTTAGTGTGACATTCATTTTTTATTACCATCCTTTGTTATTGAATATCCTTCAGTTTAAGAAACTACAGGTGCATCTCAAAAAATTTGAATATCATGGAGATTTTCATAATTTAACTCAAAATGAAACTCATATTCTGGATTCATTACACATAAAGTAAAATATTTCAAGCCACTTTATTGCTTTAATTTCAATGATTATGACTTATTGCTCAAAAATCTGGTATCTCAAAATATTAGAATATTTACAATACAAGGGTTTACAATATATAAATGTCCAGCTTCTGCAGAGAATGTTCATTTATGCACTCAGTACTTGGTCGGGGCTCCTTTAGCATAAATTACTGCATCGATGCAGTGTGGCGTGGAGGCAATCAGCCTGTGGCACTGCTAAGAATGTTAGTGAAGATCAGGTTGCTTTGATAGAAGTCTTCAACTCATCTGCATTGTTGGGTCAACTGTTTCTCATCTTCATTAATGATAGCTCAGGTCCATTAAGTATCCTAGAACAATCTGTACTATGGAACTGGCACTGCCTAAAAGCCATTATTCATTTCATTAGATACAGCTACAGTATGCCTTTTCTGCTGTATTGAGTCAAAGTGTCTGCTGGACAAAAGAAATATTACTTGCCCAATAATTAAAAAATAAAGAAAAAAGAACCAGAATTTACTTACCATGTATTTGTGGACTTCTTCCTTGCTCTCTTCCATCTTCCTTTGGGTTTTGAGCAGTTCCTCTTGGGTGTTATTAATCTCTTCATTAGCCTTTTCTATGGTAGTTTTTATCTTACCTATAGTCAGAATTGCAGTCATTGTATGTTCTAGTTTTTGTTCAACTTCCTCTTTTTGTTGTTGTATCTTTGTCTTATTAATTTCTAACTCATCTCTCTCTTTTGAGATTTCTTCTACTCCAGCAGTCACTCTTTTCATGTTAGTTTCCCTTTTGTCTGTGGTGATCTTCTCCATGCTGTCTACCTCAAACTGACTTTCTTTAGGTTGTATTTTGTCTTTGGCTATGTCAACATGCTGTTCTCTTATCTCATGCTTATCATATCTGTCCTCCGTGTTCACCTCCTGCTCTGATCTCTGCCCCTCAGTCTTTTCTTGTCCATCATGTTCAGTCTCTTTCTTCATCCTGCTTATCTCTTCTGTTTTTCTTTTGCCCATTCTTATTGTTTTTACAATGTCTTTTTTTTTTAGTTCAATCTCAGTTTTCATAACTTCCAACTCTCTTATCGCATTCTTTGTCCTCTGCAACTTGTTGTCCAGCTCCTGTTTTTGCTTTTCAGTATCCTCCCTCATACTCTTCATTACATCCATTTCTGCTTTAGCTAACTGCTTATCTCTGTCTATGTTTTCTCTCTCTGTCTGTAGTTCATGTTTATTTTTTTCTATCTCATCTAACTCTAATTGCTTTGTGTTTTCCATTGTCCAGTTCTGTTCTGTTTGGGTCATCTTGCTGTTCTGTTGTCTTTGCTCTGTTGGTCAAGAAAATGGAGAGAATATCCCCTTGTTTAAAAAAGACCAACAAATCATTTCTGTGAGGCCAGTCTACACTGCAACAAAATTTTTAAAACCAGAAAAAAATAGTTTGACAAAGGATGCTTATAAAAGCAAAAAAGCTTAAAAAAGAAAACAAGAAATTTCCAAAAAGCTCTTTTCACAGATTAACTCTGGACTCTGTCCACAGAGTCAGGCCCAGATTTTGTCAAATGTTACCCTTTCCCACATATACAGTGGTGTGAAAAAGTGTTTGCCCCCTTACTGATTTCTTATCTTTTTGCATGTTTGTCACACTGTAATGTTTCAGATCGTCAAACAAATTTATATATTAGTCAAAGATAACACAAGTAAACACATCATGCAGTTTTTAAATGAAGGTTTTTATTATTAAGGGAAAACAAAATCCAAAACTATATAGCCCTGTGTGAACAAGTGTTTGCCCCCCTGTCAAAACACTGGTTTATCGCACCTGAGTTCAATTTCTCTAGCCACACCCAGGCCTGATTACTGCCACACCTGTTCGCAATCAAGAAATCACTTAAATAGGACCTGCCTGACAAAGTGAAGTAGACCAAAAGATCCTCAAAAGCTAGACATCATGCCGAGATCCAAAGAAATTCAAAACCAAATGAGAAAGAGAATAATTGAGCTCTATCAGTTTGGAAAAGGTTATAAAGCCATTTCTAAAGCTTTGGGACTGCAGCGAACCACAGTGAGAGCCATTATCCACAAATGGCGAAAACATGGAACAGTGGAGAACCTTCCCAGGAGTGGCCGGCCGACCAAAATTACCCCAAGAGCGCAGCGACAACTCATCCAAGAGGTCACAAAAGACCCCACAACAACATCCAAAGAACTGCAGGCCTCACTTGCCTCAGTTAAGGTGAGTGTTCATGACTCCACCATAAGAAAGAGACTGGGCAAAAATGGTTTGCATGGCAGAGTTCCAAGACGAAAACCACTGCTGAGCAAAAAGAACATAAAGGCTCGTCTCAGTTTTGCCAGAAAACATCTTGATGATCCCCAAGACTTTTGGGATAATACTCTGTGGACAGACGAGACAAAAGTTGAACTTTTTGGAAGGTGTGTGTCCCATTATGTGTGGCGTAAAAGTAACACCGCATTTCAGAAAAAGAACATCATACCAACAGTAAAATATGGTGGTGGTAGTGTGATGGTCTGGGGCTGTTTTGCTGCTTCAGGCCCTGGAAGACATGCTGTGATAAGTGGAACCATGAATTCTGCTGTGTACCAAAATATCCTGGAGGAGAATGTCCGGCCATCCGTTTGTGACCTCAAGCTGAAGCGAACTTGGGTTCTGCAGCAGGACAATGATCCAAAGCACACCAGCAAGTCCACTTCTGAATGGCTGAAGAAAAACAAAATGAAGACTGGAGTGGCCTAGTCAACGTCATGACCTGAATCCAATTGAGATGCTGTGGCATGACCTTAAAAAGGCAGTTCATGCCCGAAATCCCTCCAATGTGGCTGACTTACAACCATTCTGCCAAGATGAGTGGGCCAAAATTCCTCCACAGCGCTGTAAAAGACTCATGGCAAGTTATCGAAAACGCTTGATTGCAGTTGTTGCTGCTAAGGGTGGCCCAACCAGTTATTAGGTTTAGGGGGCAAACACTTATTCACACAGGGCTATATAGTTTTGGATTTTGTTTTCCCTTAATAATAAAAACCTTCATTTAAAAACTGCATGATGTGTTTACTTGTGTTATCTTTGACTAATATATAAATTTGTTTGACGATCTGAAACATTACAGTGTGACAAACATGCAAAAAGATAAGAAATCAGTAAGGGGGCAAACACTTTTTCACACCACTGTAACACACAACATGAGATAGTCTGTGTCAGATGTGTTCTCACCTACATTTAGTTCATGGATGGGAGGTGCGCCTAGGCAGAGTACACAGGATGCAGGATATAACGCGGTCACAATAACCAAGTCTCTTGCCTTATCTGATGATTCTTAATGACAGAAGTTCCTAAATATTGTTGTGTCTATTGTTGTGTGGATAATTTCGTTGGTGTCTTCATTGTAAATGACTGTTTGTGTTCTTCTGCTTTTGCACCGGTTACATGATAGAACGTCATCAACACGCCCACTAGCTCTGTGTGAATACTCCAGACTATACACTGCTGTATTCTCACTTGGACTCACTCTAGCTCAACATATGGAGAATTTCAGGGTTCCAGTGTTTGAAAGGGGCCTATAAGTCTTCAAAAACCATTCAGTCTATCCCACTTTCACAAAGCTGGCAATGAGCTGGACCTTGTCTTCTCAACCTCTAGTCCTCGCTTTCTCTTCCTCTCTGCCTAGTGCTAAAACTAGACTTCTGTTTCAAATCTCAGAACATATTTCAAGGCCATCTCCTCCAAGCTCCAGCCTTCATCTCCTCCTCCCCCATTTCTCCTCTCAGAGGATCTGAATATGAAATTTCTCTCTGAAATATAGTGTACAATATAGTATAAAGTACCATAAAATGTAAATACTTAAGTGAAGTAAGTACTTCAAAGTTGTATATATGGTACATGAGTAAAAATATTAAGGTACTGTGCAAGTAGTTTTGCTGCCTAAATATAGATACTTAAACCTAGTGCATTTGATTTGATTTGATTTATTTATTCTTTCACGCATGTAAAGACAGTTATGTCAACACACATAATTTTACACATATCCAACAAATGCCGATCCAATATCAATTTGCTTATACCTAGTACATGCTTGAATGGAGTAGGAAGAAGTCAGACTTATCCAGTCCTACCTCCTGACATCATCTTACCATCATTGATTTGCAAGCAGTATCTCTACATAAATAATTCTCTTCTACACCACACAAGTAATATACTAAAGAATTATAACAGAGTGTTAACATTCTTACATAATTACATTCTTAAATAATTATCTTCTACACCACACAAGTAATATATTAAAAAATTATTACAGAGTGTTAACATTCATACACCACACCCACAATGTTCTAATTAATCATTAAGCCTGTTCTTGCATATATCTTGATTGACACATACCTTTATATTTATGTTTAAACTCCTCAATTCTATTACTATTTTTTATGTCCGCACTTAAATTACTCCATAGTTTTACCCATTCACCATTTAACCTCAGTCAAATGTAGTAGTATTATTATTAGGGCTGTCAAAGTTAACGCAATAATAACGAGTTCATGCAAATAGTTTTTTATGCCACTATTTCTTTTGACGCGCGATTAATGCACGCACATTTGGTGATGATGACCCTCAGCCCAACCTGCAGTTTAGGAAATCAGGATGTGATGCAACAGTAACGTTTTGCATGGCAAACAGAAACAAACCTCCTTGAGCAGAAATGGTTAAAGACAGGGGTCTTTTGAATGGCAGCTTCACAGCCCTGCCAGGTGGTTCTCTCAGCAAGACCAACATTATTTGCATTTACTGTCAATGTGAACTGAGTTACCACCAGAGTACATCAAGTCTCAAATACTACTTGCTGGCCAAGTACACAGCTGATACAGAGAGCCCTCCTCCCCCTCACCAAAGGCAGACCACAGTGGACAGTTTGCAACAAACCTTCAACAGCAATAGCTAAATGGGTGGCTACAGCCTGCAGGCTGATTAACACTGTGGAGGACGAGGATCTGCTTGAAATAATTCTCATCACATCCAAAGACTGCACATATGAACTGCCTGTGAGAGTCACTGCTGTAACCAGGTTACACAACATGTATGAAGACAAGAAAGCTAAAGTGGAGGAAGCATTTGGACAAACATGGCTGAACTCACCAGAGACTACTAGACTTCTCTCAGTAATCAGTTACCCTGGGGTCCCTTTAAGGTACATTTAGAACCAGTTGTTCTCAGATCCTTTACTTAAGTAAAAGTAGTAATACAACAGGGTAAAAATACTCTGTTACAAGTAAAAGTCCTGCATTCAAAATGTTAAGTATAAGTACAAAAGTATCAGCATCAAAACATACTTAAAGTACTAAAAGTAAAAGTACTTATTATGCAGAACAGCGCATTTCACATTCCCTTGTATCATATTATTGTAATGTAATGACTGATGCGTTATTGTGAACATCACATTTAATGTTGCAGCTGGTAAAGGTGGAGCTAGTTTTTACTGGCCTATATGCATTTAATTTGAATTCATGCTGAGTAGCTTGTCAATTTTCCACCACAGATCAAAGAGGTCTAATAATTGTACTGCATTTTTTGTAGGAATCTGGTTATTAAAAGTAACTAGTAATGAAAGTTATAAAATAAATGTAGTGTAGTAAATATTTGTGCAATATTTGCCTCTAAAATGTAGTGAAGTGAGAGTATAAACTAAGAGAAGATGAAAATACTCAAAGTACAGATACCTCAAAATTGTACTTAAGTACAGTACTTGAGTAAATCTACTTAGTTACTTTTCACCACTGTTTAGAACAGAAAAAAATGATTAATTTAAGACTAATCGCAAGTTAACTATGGACAATTGTACGATTAATCACGACTAAATATTTTGACTGACAGCACTAATTATTATACATTATACATAAATTCCATGATTGTGTTTTAGTTGGCACAAAGATATTATAGGGAATCAAGTGTAAAACAAAAATGTTTTTCAGAGTTGCGTTTAACATTTCACGTAATAGTGTTTCAGTATGAATGTACAGTATCTGCAAAATGTTAGCAGCTAACATTTTGAAAATACACTATGCTTTGATGGTGTATATGTTTACAAAAGGCAACACCATGGTTTTGAGTTAGTGGCAGTCATAATTTGTTATACCTTGTATTACCTTGTAGTTAACACATTAAATTGCACAGGAGTGTTAGATGTTTAAAACATACTGTATACCACTGAATAATTTCTGACTGATGTGTCTTACCTAGATTAGCTATAAGCTCAGGTTCCTTGTGGGAAAGTATCTGGTACAAGCCAACTTTTGATTGTGATGTCCCTTCCTCCACAATGCCAAACAGCACCCTCACTTGTTCCTGTAGTGTCAGACCTTCAGTGATAGTCGCTGGCTGCTGTGAGACCCAGGCCTCTAGTATGGCTCCAGGGGATCTCAGTCCAGCAATGATCTGCTCCCTGAATTCCTCCAGGAAGGTTTCCACTACAAATGACATTAGTGGTCACTCATCTTGCAGGGACTTGATACTCTGTATTTGCTACCTTAGAGAATTTAACAAGCAGAAATGTGTATCTAGTTGTTTGCAGTTTCTAGGTGGGTTTTCAATCTGTTACATACTAGGAATGGGCATTACAAGCTAAAAAACTTTTTGACACCCCACCATATTGCTATGGTTGTCACATGTGCGTTCTGTGACTCTACCTGTACGTCCCCAGTGTTCCACAACAGTGGAAAGCACATTCACCAGGTTTTCAGTATCATGCTGCTCTGGCATTGTTTAGTCTGAAGAACAGCAGTCTGTACTTTGCACTTTGTGTCCACCTACCTTTTCAACACTTGTCAAACGACCATGTACCTCACATTAATCATCATCATACATTTTATCCAGTTGTGCCATTTTTCTTGATGGGATTGTTTACTCTGGCTGAACAAATGCCATCACACTTCAAAAACCCTCCCCCTTGATGAAGCTAATGGGTAGCAGGTCTTTTTCTATCATCTTTGTGATGGGGGCCGTTGTTTGTGATGCATGTTGATCATCAAACTGCCTTCTTTGGATGACAAAGCCACTGACTGTTGATCTGCGGCCCACACCCCACTTTCTGCTGGATGTTTCACCTTCAAATGGCTGTGCATGGTTGTTGTTGATTTATAATATGCTAACTCAGCAGAGTTTGCCCTGCACCTCATTTACGTTTATTTTCTTGAAGAAGTTCCACACAGAACTTTGTGATGGCTTTAGTCTTTGCATGTTTCTGCTGTTAGTGTTTGGTGCTGTAATAAAATGATACACTGACCTTGTTATCACGTTATTTCCAGTAAAAGTGAGAGAAAACAGTGGCTCTTTGTTTTTAAAGACAAAATCATAGTTGCATTAAATATTAGATGTTTTTAAATTTAATGACTATTCGAATATTCAAAAATCAGTGCCCGTCCCCATTATATACTGTATTCAAAATGTTAAAACCTAGCCTTTCAAAAATGCAGACTGGTGCATCAAATAGAAAGCTGGTTTTAAATTTTTGAGGAACTACACATTACTGGCAGAAATATCTACATGCAGTAAGTTTAGACACTAGCAGACTGAGATTACTTTTGAAAGTGTGTTTACCACATATTGAACATTCACAGGTATTAACAAATTCACTCATCGGCCACTTTATTAGGTACACCTGTACAATTGTGTGCATTTCAGTGCAACACTTCCACCTTAATATTTGTTTTTATGAAGCTCAAATTGTGACTTTTTGTGAAATTGTCATAAATGTATGAATGTAACTATTTGTTTATTATTGAGGTCATAGTTGAAGGTTGTGTTGTACTGGACTACATTATATTCAGAGGTGTCTCTAAATTTTTGTCCTCCTCAGCTACATACATGAGAGGGTCAGAATATTAGAAACGCCTCTGAATATAATGTGGTCCAGTGCAACACCACCTTTATAACCTCAATAATAAACATATAACTGAATTTATACATTTATGACAATTTCACCAAAATCTGAAACATTTTGCACTTCATAAACACAGATGTTAAAGTGGAAGTGTTGCACTGAAGTGCACACAATTGTACAGGTGTACCTAATAAAGTGGCCAATGAGTGTATTTGTTGTTGAGAACAAAACATAATTTTTAGGCATAAAACAATAATACATACCATGTTCTGTTGATTTGGCCATAATTCCAAATAACTGATTAAAAGTTGTTGATTGTTGTGATGACAGGTCTGTGTAGGGATCATACAAAAATTAGAGGTAGAAAAGCATAAAGTAGTTAACACAGGTAAAACAGTGCTTAATTTGTTTCACTTAGATGAAGCTGATTTATTAAATATTACAATGTTGTTATAAGCAAATAAATGTATTAAACAATTACAAATTGGATTTTTTCCTTACCTGAGCTTTCTTTTGTCTTGAGTTCTGTACAAAAACACAATAAACCATGTTAGGCTTAAAGTGTTAGAAGACAAGACCCCTTATAGCAAATCATTTGACAGAGTGCTGCGCTGGTCTGCTTGGGTGTAAAACTTGGTGGATATCTATGGAAATGAGGCAGGATGGAATTATCATCTTCAAAACAGTGTATATCTCCTCCCTCCATGTTTGTTGACCACCAGGTTTGACTGTCAGATACCTGTGACACCCAGAATGTGTGTGTGTATGTTTGGATGGTAAAACATCTTGCTCTGTAAGTCTGGTCTCAGCTGATAAGGGTGGGGTCCATGTTTGGCTTGGGGTCTAGGGTTTCCCTTAGCTTTTCTGATGTACTTAAGCACTGACTATATAAGAAGGCAATAGATAATATACTCGCACAGGAAAGGTGTGCAAGCAATGCTTTGATAGTTGGAGTGCTACTCTGCAATCTAAAGCATAGTTAAATATGGTTCAAAATTAATTAGTGAAACACAGCTATCAAGCATTTGACTTATAATAATGTGTAGCTAGCTTTTAGTGCTGTTTTCAGCATTATCTTTTATTAGAATTATCAAGCAGCGGCATGCACTGCATAAAAAGAGGCAAGTCTGGAGAGTTAGAAGCAAGCAGAATCTCACCTGTTATGGGGGAGGGCTTTAAGTAGAAAGTAGTGAAGTTGTTTGAAAGGTAAACTTTCAAGATAAATAACATGATTTGTGGTTTAATGTCAATCAGATTGTCCTTTTATTGTTTTGGAGGTGTAAAGTTCATGCATTATTTGGGAAAAAGCATGACAGCTTAGATGAAATTTAATCAAGCACTGCAAATTTACTGAATCAGAATCTGGCCAGGTGTGTCAGACACACGAGGAATTTAACTCTGGTACAGCATCTCTCAATGTGCATGTACATATCCCCATGCTAAGGGCAAGTAAACAGTAAACCAACATAAGACTGTTGTAATATAACAAAAGCAGTATTAACATACAGCAAACAATGCAAAATAAGCAGTACAAACAGGCAGTAAACAATGCAGACAGACAAGGAATGCTCATTGTGAAATGAGATAAATAGGAATAAAAACATCCATCCATCCATCCATCCATTTTCCTCCGCTTATCCGGGACCGGGTCGCAGGGGCAGCAGTCTAAGCAAAGATGCCCAGACTTCCCTCTCTCCAGACACTTCCTCCAGCTCCTCCGGGGGAATGCCAAGGCGTTCCCAGGCCAGCCAAGAGACATAGTCCCTCCAGCGTGTCCTGGGTCTTCCCCGGGGCCTCCTCCCGGTGGGACATGCC